TGGGATATAGCAGAGAGAGCTTGGCACAACTTATTACTCCAGGCTGTAGAATCCTGGAAAAGAGCTTCCATGCAGCCCACTCCTGGTCGAATGGAGGACCACCTTAGTGGAAAGGGGACAATCTGGGCCTTTGGCCTGCCATGTGCACAAGCATAACAATTGCTTTTGTTTAACATGTGAAGGGAATATTTGATCCATTTCAAACAGGCATTTGCATCTTGGTATCCTGTCTTAATTGCCAAAATTTGTTTTAAGTCTTTAACTTCTATGATTCTCTACTAAAATGAATGTATGATTTTAAGAAATTACAAAAGCCAGTTGGGGCAGTCCATCCTTGCTCTTTAGACATTCACAGATGTTGGACCAACTACAGCACAAAAGCTCTACATTGGGGGGCAAAACTCCTGCTTGACACTGGAGTCTTCACTGAAATTTCTCTGGATTACGTGGTCCTAATTTACTAATGTCCGGTCTGAGGAGAGTCAGGAGGGACAGAGGTACTTTTCTAAAATAGAGAGCTGTCTTTGACTTGGCAAGTCTCCACAGGGTATAACAAGGCAAGCATTAAATGCAATAATTTGAGGTGAAATTGACTTGGTTATGTTAATAACTAGATGGTCAGCAACAGAGAAAGGAAAGAAGAAAGAGTAATAGAATAGACTAAAGAGTTAAATTTTTATTAGCTTTAGTTTGGTAGGGTTTTCCCCTGGGACTATGGCCCACGACTCTGGAGGGGATGGTGCTTTCTTGACTTGGGTGTGATGAGTCCATCCTTTTTTTTGCTGTACAAACAGCAGTCTTGGTGGTTAGCAGCACAAGGTAGGGTCCTTCCTAGGCTGGCTTGAGTTTACTTTATTTTTTCACCTTTTGATGAGAATGTGATCTTCAAGCTGGTGCTGGTTTACCAGAAATTCTAGGGGTGGTACGTGTGCTAAAAGACTTTTAGTTTTGAGGGAAAGGGAAGTGGAATATAAACCAAGTATATAATTTTTAGGAAATTGACCTTTTGTTTTAAATGTGGGGACATCAGCAGTGGACTTTATAGTCCTTAGTGCCTTTCTACTGAGAAATTTCCTTTAGCATCTATTTTTTGTTAGTTTTTAGACCAAAGAAGCCAAACACCATTCTATATTTGACAATGTTTCCTGTATGATTTTTATACCAGGTAAACTAAATTTCACCTTTATATTAGTGTGCTATTAATGTTAAACTTAGTTTTAATAAAACTTTGTAGACATATTTATTTAATTTTTAATATCGGACCATAAGGTAAGATTTTTATAGACTCTTTTAAACCTTTTATAGTATTTGTTGAAGAGCAGGTTAATGCTTTAAGAAAAATCTGTTGTGTTTTTATTTTAATATTCAGTTCACAGAAAAACTGGATTATACCCCTTTGACTTTACCCAATATGTTTACACACAGAATTTCCTTTACAGTTAATGTTTTAAAACTTACTTAAGCCTTCAGAACAATTTTTTAACCTTTTAATGTAGGTAAAAATCCACATTCTTATGCCTCCTTATAATCCTTTTACCAGAGATACATTTTACTTTTCTTATACACCTTGCACATAAACTGTTTTTTCAATAGTTTTACATTCAGGAGGCCAAGTTACTTTTAAATTATACAACATTTCTTGCATAAATTTTTTTATGACTTTTTTTTTCTTTTTCATGACTTTGCAGACAATTCTTCGACATGCCTCAACTTTCTGACTTACTACAAACATTTCTTTAACAACCAGTTAATTTATTTCAGGACAAGAATTTACCATATAACATTCTTTTTACATAAATTCTGTCCCCTTTTGTCCCTTTTTTTTTTTTTTCCGAAGATAACCATTCTTTTCCAAAGTGAATTTCCTTTATGTCTGTTGTCTAGACTGTCTAAGGCCACAAGATTAGAAGTTACTATAATACATGTTACACTGTTAACTTTTAGCAAACTTTACTTTTGTTGAAAACCTTGTAAGTTTGGGATTTCAATTATCCTTTGCTATTAATAAGACATTGTTTAGTCCAAATTAACTTAGAATTGGTATAGATGGCTTTTTTTTTCCTTCAATTACCCAGGAGGAACCATCCATCATCCTGTCCTGAAGGGAGTTCCTCCTGGGTCTGGTTGGACCTTTATATGGTAATCAAGATTTAGATCCCCTGTTAGGAAACCTGCTGGGTTAAAGGAATTTTCAGTGGTTAATGTTAAATCTTTTTTTTTCTTAGGATACTTCTGAACTGATGAGGTGTGCTCACAATGAGGTTTCCTCTAAAAGTTATTTTTCTACTTTCTTGTGTTAGCAAAGCCGTTGCCACTACAGATTGAATGCATTTGGGCCATCCGCAGATTACTAGGTTAAGGGTTTTTTATAGGAAGGCTACAGGTTGTCAACAGCCTCAGTGCTTTTGGGCTATGCCCTTGTTTACACTTACAACAAGGTGGTATTGGAGTGTTGTAGGGTCACAGAGAAGACCTTCAATTATCAATTATAGATTTTAAATTTACCCTGGCTTTTAAAGGAATAGGGTACACTGTTTTTTTCTTAACTACTTGTATATCTCTTTCTTTCTCTCTTTAACTTTCTGTCTCTTTCTCTTTGACTTTCCTTTTGCCTCTGTCTCTTTCTCACTCTCTCTCTGCCTCTCTCTTTCTCTTTCTCTCCTTGACTCCCTCTTTGTCTCTCTGTCTCTTCCTCTCTCTCTCTCTGCTGGTCTTTCCTTCTGCCAGCTGTTATGCTGCTCTCTTAACCACTGTGGGTGGGTGGGGGTGGGGGGGACAGTGGGGTCTAAAACCAGCTGTAACCAAGTGTCTATGTACGGGAACCAGTCTGGGTGCCCTGGCTTATAAGTTACCTTGTGCCATACCTTTGAAACAAGGGACCTGTCCAGGCTTCCTTCTGATGGCCAATCCACCTCTAATACTGGCCAGTCTATTTCACACAAAGTTCTAAGTTTTGCTGGTGTCATAGTAACACTGTAATCTTCCTTAAATCTTTTCTTGAAATTTTTCAATAGAATTCCTAGTCGGGTGGGCTTACTTTGTGCCTGACCCATGTCTCCTTGAGACAAAACACCACGCTCACAACACACACACACTACAAAACAAAGAATCGGTAAAAAGGGCACACACACACACTTTTACAGTTTACACCAAACCAGAATCAAAACCAAAATCAGAGTATCAAGAAATCCAAGCCAGGTCAAAACCAAAACCAAAGTATCAAGCAATCCAAGACAAGTCAAAAACAAAAACCAAACTGCCAGTACAGGCACGTCATGGGTGATTGGACCACTCTTCCACTCAAATGGAGTGGGCAAGTTCCAAAGACCAGTCTTATCAAGTTTCAGATGTCCAGACTTCAAGTGCCTGCTCCTTCCCAGTGTTCAGCCACTGCTTTGATCCTCTGCTAGGGCCTACCACACGCTGCTCTGGCAAGGTATTCCACCGGGGCAATTGCCTACCTGGGAGCGCTCTCAGGATCCACGTCAGTCAGGCTGGCTGGAGTCTCCTGCAGGGACACTCCACAGGGAAGGCCTAAGCTGCCTAAGGGGCTGCCTTGACCATCCATTAATCACCTCGCTTCCTGGTCAGGGAACCAAGAAATGAAACAGGACAAGCCACAGACAAACCCCTCAGACACCGAGTTAAAGAAGGAAGGGCTTTATTCAGCTGAGAACTTCAGCAAGACTCACATCTCTAAGAACCGAGCTCCCCAAGTGAGCAATTTCTGTCCCTTTTAAGGGCTTACAACTCTAAGGGGGTCCCCATGAGAGGGTCATGATCTATTGAGCAAGCAGGGAGTGTGTGACTGAGGGCTGCATGCACTGGTAATCAGAACAGAATAGAACAGGACAGAGATTTTCACAGTGCTTTTCCATACAATGTCTGGAATCTACAGATAACATAACCATTTAGGTCAGTGGTCGATCTTTAACCAGGCCCAAAGTACAGCGCTGGGCTGTCTGCCTGTGGATTTCATTTCTGCCTTTTAGTTTTTACTTCTTCTTTCTTTAGAGGCAAAAATTAGGCATAAGACAATATGAGGGGTGATCTCCTCCCCTAGACACAGAGCAAACATGGAACAGAAAGTAGGGTGGTGGTTAACAGGGGCTAGGAATAGGAAGGACAGGGGTAGTTGTTCAGTGGGTATAGAGTTTCAGTTTTGCAAGATGAAAAAGTTCTAGAGGTTTGTTACACAACAATGTGAACAAAATTAATATTAGTGGTTTATACACTTAAAAAGTGGTTAAAATAATGAATTATATGTATTTTGTACCACAATTTAAGATTTTAAAAATAAAATTTGAGAAATTGATTTAAAGAAAACATTGTTTGTTTCTTGCACACCTGCCTTTACACAGAACACACAAAAGCCCTTTTGCTCCTAGGTCAGTAGTTCTCAACATGAATGTGAGGGGATTTTGTTCTCCCTCCATCAGGAGACATCTGACAATATCTGATAATGTTTCTGGTTGTTATGTAGGGTAGGGTTGTGCTGGCATAGGCCAGAGAGTCTGCTAAGCATACTACAGTGCACAGGATAGCCACCTACTACAAAGAATTGCCCAGTCCAAAGTGGCATTAGTAGCTTATTTGAGAAACCTGTCCAAGATCATCAATCAGAATGTGTTATTGATATATCAGTCTTCTCCCCTCTAGTTAGGTTGGTAGAGTTCAGACTCTGGGAAAAACTGGGAATGTAAAAGGCTGAATGAGTATAAGCTGAAAGACAAGAGAGAGGAGTCTTGTTTGGAGCTTACTGAAGTCAAAATGGAAAAAAAGGAAGATTGGGGGAGGAAAGACAGTGAACAGACCACTTTTAGGTCAAATTCTGTAGGGTTCTGTGCTAAGCACCTTACGTGTGTTGTCTCACATAATCCTTAAAACTCAGAAATCATTTTAAGGTAAGTAGTACAGAGAGTAAAACAGACTGGAGAGGGAGTCTTTGCTTGGGTAGGCAACTTTAACTGGTTTATCAGCACATTTCCCAGAAGGGAAAGGGGGTGTGATTGCTCCTGAAGAGACCCAAGCTCCTTTTTAATCAAAGCTCAGGTGGAGAGCTGCATTCCACTGTTTCACAGATGCTGTGAGGGTGGCAAAGATGCAGGGCACCCACCGGAAACACAGCCGGCACTCTGTGAAAGGGGAAGGGGCACCAGGAGCGCGGGTGAGCGAGGTTGGAGGTGATTCTGCCCCTCTCCCCAGGCTTTCTGGGTGAGTCCATTCCCCCTCTCAGATTCACTGTTAGAACTTAAGACAAGTCAATTACATTTCATAATATCTGTGTCATTCAGACCCTGAGAACGAATCCAGCCTTCTGAATGGTGTTTCTTAACTCCTTTCTTCAACAGAAGAGTTAATGTGTGGAATTAAGTGCAGAACCCATGGCCCTCTGAGGTGACGGTGATGGTTCAGGTTGTGTTTCTGGGTTCATTCTGGCAGCTCCTCCAAGGAAAGGAGGAAGGAAGCTGGCAGCATGGGGCTTTGCCATCGCCCTGGCTGGCTCTGGTTTCCTTGCCTGATACATTGAAGTCAGCTCCCAAAGAATGCCACCCAAGGGTTTGAAGGGCATAGTGCCTCTATCCTCACAAAACCAGGCCAGATATGAGTTTGCTGAATTCATTTAGGTCCTGCTGAATCTTTCCCATTTGTTCCTTCTCCATTTCAATATTTCAATACTTCCCTAGAGGGGCCCAACCTTCCTGGAGAGCAAAGATCTGTTGTTAGAGAAAGAGAGCAGCCAGAAGAGGAAGAGGACTTCAGGGTAGGCAGCAGTTGGGCAATGAGTATTGAAAGGTTGCTTTCAGCCTGCCAAGACTTGGAGAATTAGAAAAGCAAGTCAAAACAAGCAAATACACAAACTATATATATAAAACAATTTTTTAAAAAAATTTTATGTTCTATATTACTATTATTAGCTATATATTACTGAATATTCCTTTAAAGCAGTATAGTCATTATTGCTATTGTTATTGTTATTATTATGGTTGGTTATATACAATGGAATATTGTTATTTATCTATATTATGATTACTAGCACTATTGTTATTATTATTTACATGTTATTGAAAGCCTCAAAGCAGCATACGCTTTTTATGAATATTTTTGCTCATGTTTATGACAATTCTCCAGTGTTGGTATTGCTCCTCTATTTAACAGATTAGAAAACTGAAGCTCCAAGAACAGACTCGCCTAATAACAGGAAACTTGTACACCTTGAAGTGGCAATTCACACAGAAGGCTCCGTGACTCCTGAACTCTCATAATTATGAGGTGGTCTTTTTCATGGTTTTTCTGAAGTTACTAGAAGTTTACAGAAAAGGAAGTGCAGGCACATTTCACAAATCTACAGTCTGTAAGTATCACATCCTGTATAGCTGTAAATACTGGAATAAGGAAGGGCTGATGACTTCCAGAAGATGAAGGTAAGTAGAAACCGTTGATGGGACTGAGAACCCAGAGTTAAAACCTCTTGGGAGCTTCTGAGGACTCAGCTGGAACCAACGGCCACAGGTATGCTGAAAGACTTTTCTCATCTCACCGTTCCCTTGCCATGACCTCATGAGAGGAGTAATATGACTTGAAACTCCTTGACAGCAGTTAAGAGACACTAGAGCCTTTGGAAATAGAGTGGGCAGATGGAAGGAGTATCTGTTTTTAACTCTGTTTCTGCTGTATTCTGATTGCGTGAACTCAGTGGGTCGCTTACCTAAGATTGTGTAATTAATGGGAGTAGAGCTCTTGTCTCTTCAAATGTGTTTAGACCATTTGTAAACTGGGCAGCCTGTGGGTTGAGAATGGTGTAGTGAAAAGGGATCCAAACTGAGCTTAGCAACAAACACCACAGCCTCGGTGGTCTTTATGCTAAAAAGTGGGGAGGACCGAGGATGCAAGCCTATGAGTTATGACTCCAAGACTTCTCATACCACTGCATGCAGCTGCTTCTCCAGCCTGAGTAAACTCAGACACAGGCTGGCATTGCCAGGTGGGAAAGTAGGAAGAGGTGGAATGATCTAGAGATTTATGCAAAGGCTTCAGACTCCAGAAAAGCTGTGATCCAAGACTGGTTTTACAGTTTCCCAGCTGTGTGAACCAGGGTGAACAATAAGGGTAACCTCAAATATTTCTTCAGCATTAACTCTGGGCCACACATATGCGCAATATGTATATTATTTGCATTCATAACTTAAACTTTATTTTGCATTTCCTTATTTATTACATGTTTTTACTAACTAACATGCAGAGCTATTGTAAGGATTAAAAGCACTGCAGGATAAAAACTAAGAACATGTCTAGTAAAATATGATAAATGTATCTAAGATGAATGCTAATAAATAGTATTATTAGACAAAAAATAAGTAAGCAGAGTTCATTTATTAGTCTGAAAATTCATCAAATATATGGCAATACAGTTGTTGTCTGTAGGACTAGGAGAAAGGGAGGTTGCCTTTGCATATTGCAAATTTTGTGTGACCCTTTGCCTCTGGACATTGGGGCCTCTCAAGATTCATGTTGCTGCCACCCTGCGATGTGTTTATTATCTATAATGGACTGTGTCAAACATTGTGGAAAAATCCTCATGAAACCAAGGTTGTATGGTTTTCACTGCTCCATATTATCAGTTTCTTTCTCTAATGGACAGGCCAAGCCTGGACTAATTGGCAAAGACTGAATTACAGTTTTTAGAGCCAGAACCTGAGAGCCCTGTACTTTTTAAGAGGTAAATATTTTTTCTTCCATAGTTGACAACACCATCATGATATCACAACCTGTTCCCAATGAGACCGTGATAGTGCTCCCATCAAATGTCATCAACTTCTCCCAAGCAGAGAAACCCGAACCCACCAACCAGGGGCAGGATAGCCTGAAGAAACGTCTACAGGCAGAAGTCAAAGTTATTGGGGTAAATCTAATTCACAACATGTTGGAGAGGGGTTGGGGGAAGCGGGAAGAGATGACGTATGTCTTGGGACTGGACATCTGTCCTGAGTGTGGAGACCCTTAAGTTTTGCCAGAGGGACTTTGGAGTAGAAACCACTTGGAGAAAACTGTCCCAGAACTTTTCCACAAGAGGTTGTCTTAGAAATATATTTTCCCTTATTCTGAAGATGAGGAATTCATTTTCTATGTTGTCTTTGTATTTTTACAATACAGGTGCTTCTCTATATTTTTTTTTACAAAAGTAATGGTGGTAAATAATTACATATTTGTGTGTGTGTGTGTGTGTGTGTGTGTATTTCACAATTGCATGCTTAATAATCCACACTGACTTTTTGCAAAGAATTTTACCCTCACTGCAAATTAGAAGAAATATACACCTCCTTTCCCACTTTTCTCCTTACTTTTTTGAGAATGGAAATGATATTCACCTTCTGTTTGCCTCTGCACTTATGTGATCTGAGGTGAGGCACTCCATTTGACTGGATTTCAGGGCCTGGTGGGACTGGTTTCCTTGCCTCATGTACAATCACGTGGGTTTCTGTGAGGCTCATGTGACATAAGGTCTAGAAAACTTCTTGGTAAATGATATTAGAGCTGTGAATCTCTGAGGTGGATGTCCAGGAGGGAAACTGCCTCCTAAGACAGAGCTTCAGTTAGACATGAGAGCATGCAGTATTTGGTTTCTGTCCCTGTTAGTTTGCTAAGTGTGATGGCTTCTGAATGATGAGAACACATGGACACGTAGAAGGGGGCAAGGCACACTGGGGCCTTTCGGGGGCTGGACGATGGGAGGAGGGAGAGGATCAGGAAAAATAACCAATGGGTACCAGGCTTCATACCTGGGTGATGAAATAATCTGTACAACAAACCCCCATGACACAAGTTTACCTATGTAACAAACCTGCACTTTTACCCTTGAACTTAAAATAAAAGTAAAAAATGAAAGAGCTTCCAGAACTTCAGCTTTTGGTTTGTGAACTGCAGTTTCCAAGGAGGTGACCAGAGGGGCAAACACCATGTCCAGTGGAGTCTCGGAGATGAGGGGAGGGACTTCTGCACCGCCAATACTGCAGGGAATGTGGGGGCTTTCAGGTGCCCCTTGTTTTCAGGGAGGTAGGAAGCCAGTTAACTAGTCAGGGACTCAGAGGTCCTGAGAATTGGGAAAGGAAATCCCAGCACTTGCTGTGAGCTGGAAGCAGGAGCCATGAGCAGACCAGGACCTGAGAGGCAGAAATGCAGAAGCCTTCCTGAGCACCTGCCAGACACCTGAGACTGTGGCTTCTGTGGCAGAGCCGCACACCCTCCAGGATGTCTTTTCATGTTTATCACTCCAGAGTTTCCACAGTGTTTGTATCCTCACTGGGATCTTGCAGAAAGTGATAATGTGTGAGAGCCATGGGAGAGGCAAAAAGGCCCTGTCTTTACAAATGCTGGTTTTCATCCTCAATCTCCCTTTCTCTTCCCACAGACTATCCAGATCTTGTGTGGCACGATGGTGTTGAGCTTGGGAATCATGTTGGCATCTGCTTCCTTCTCTCCAAATTTTACCCAAGTGACTTCTACACTGTTGAACTCTGCTTACCCATTCATAGGACCCTTTTTTGTGAGTAGAGTTTCTGAGGAGGGCAGGATGGGGCGAAGAGGGGAGGAAGATGCCAATAGCTTAGACTTTCCACCTGCCACCTTGCTATGTTTGATCTGCCAGGAGCAAGGAGTCAACAGTGAAGCTTGTTCTCCTGTGTGTGTAGTTCAGGAAGGATTGAGTGGGGTAGGATGACAAGGGTTGCCTGATTTTAGATCAATTTCTTATCAGACTCAAATAAGCATTTCTTTTTAAGATTATCTTATTTTTCACGTTATCATCTTGAGCTATGATGAAGCTAGTGACTTCTCTCCAGGTTTAGGCGAAAAAAAGAAAAAAAAATCCATGAATTAGGATGAAGTTGGGAAGGAACATTTTATACAAAAAAAAAAAAAAATGAGCATCAATGGAAGACATCATACCCTCACAGAGAAACCACACTGTGATCCCCCTATGCTTGTGGGGATCATGGAGGAAGGAAATTTACATCTCTGAACATTTTTAAAATACTTTTACTGCATTGACTGATTCCCGCGTAAGGCTGAGCCGATAGCTATGCCCAGTGATTGACAGGAAATTCCTCTGAAATAGCTGCAAGTCTGGAGTTTCAAAAGAACTTAGTCCTTTTCTCAGAGAACTGCTTTCTCTTAGATGGAGGCTTTCTCATAGTTAAGCTTCCCTTTCATAGATGTTTTTTCCTTCAACTTCCTGCAATTCAGTAGCTATTTGTTTTTCTTACATTTGTGTATTTGATGCACCAAGAAGTCCACCTTTTTGTGTATCTTGTCCATTTTTCTTCTCTTATTAACTAAAGTTACACTTGGATTTGGATTTCATTGGTTTTCCCCAAATGACCTTTTCCTGTTCCAAGATCCATGCCAGGCTACTGTATTACACTACATTACATTTTGTCATGATGTCTCCTCAGGCTCCTCTAGGCTCAGATTTTCCTTTTCCTTGAGGACTTTGATAGATTTGGGTAGTGCTGGCTGAGATTTTTATAGAATGTTCCTAATTTTGGGTTTGTCTGATTTTTTTTTTTTTTTGATGTTTAGAGTATGGTGATGAATTCTTGGGTGATGATGATGAGGTAAAGCACCATTTTCATCAAGTCATATCAAGGGTCACGCTACCAACATAATGTCACTGACACAATTAATGGTGATCATATGGTTGGGGTAGTATTTTCCAGGTTTCTCCTCTGTTAAATTACTACTTTTTATTTGTTTAGTTGGTTTTTTTTTTTTTAAATTGCATTCATGTCCTTCCCTAGAGAACATCTTACACCAAAACTGTCTCATTTTATTAAAGAAACAAAAATTTTTTCCTGGCTTTTAAGGTATTTTTTTTTTGTTTAGTGGGATACTTTTTGTTTATTAGGATATATTTCTGTTATCTTTTTTTTCTGATGCTATCTGAATGTTATATGGACAAAGGGACAAATATATATCTTTAAATGGAATTTACCTCATTGATCACTGGTTTCTCAAGGCTTTTCCCATGACAGTTTTCTATAAACATTTTGATAGTGACATTGCAGTTACTCTGTACATGGAAAGTGACCTGACCATTTTCTCTTTTATCTTAGTTTATCATTTCTGGCTCTCTATCAATCGCCACAGAGAAAAGGTTAACCAAGCTTTTGGTGAGTATGAAAACTGTAACCCACAACCCAATGGATCAAAATAAAACTTAGACAGAACTCATTAAGGCCAGTCTTTCTACTTTGAAAAGTTGAAAACTCAGTTCCAGAGCAGTTAGTTGTTAGAGTTAGGAGCTGGGCCTGGATCCTCTGTATCCTTGTTCAGAGCACATTTATCCGATTATTGTACCCTACATCAAAGTCTGCATTCAGAGAATTATATTCCCTCTGCCCATGACAAAGAATCTATCACAGAAAAATTGTGCCTGTTTATGATGTCCTTTTGGTGACAATTAGCCTTCAAATTCAGGCTTTCAGTGGCAAGGAAGCTGACAGTGTTATAAAGAGGTCTATTGGTTGGGGTCCACTCTTTAAGCCCAGGTGTTACAACCCTTGAAAAAAAATGAGTCCAAGTTTTGTTCATGTGAGGTATCCAAAGTAGACACAGAGGCTGCTATAGTATACTACATTACATTTAGGCATGATGTCTCCTCAGGCTGCTTTAGACTGTCTCAGATTTTCCTTCTCCCTGAGGACTTCAGTCGTTTTGGGTAGTGCTGGCTGAGTGTAGTCTTTCATCTATCTCACCAGAAGAATAATACTTTTATTTTGTTTTAGTATAAATTCTTGCACCCTAAAAAGTTGTCCCTAGTCATTTGTGTTGGCTAAGAAAAGAAAATAAAAAGCTTTACCAGTCTTTAACCCTTATTCCAGCAAAAACTAGAGTTGGAAGTGGCAAGGAGATAAAGGCTGGATTATAGGGAGAATCTTCTCTTGTCTCTAAAGTTTCGTTAAGTCTTCACTCAATCCATTATCCCTCAAGGGGCTGATGTGAGAGAACGTCATATGATGCAATTGCACCAAAACTCAATTTAGAAGCTCTGGCTACAAAAATCTCCCAAAGTCAGCAAGGAAGTGAGAAAGTGTGCCCAGAAAAATGCCAATTCTTTTTCTCATCAGTATTTAGAGATTATTATTTGGAACCCTCAGTTAGACTCTGAACTACTAACTAGATCTGTGCTGTTTAACTTTCTATGACGATGGAAATGCAATGTAACTTTCTATGATGATGGAAATGCACTACAGCTGCACTGTACAACATGGCAGTCACATGTGACTGTCGATGATGTGAAATACAGATGGTGCAACCGAATAAAAATTTCTCTTAATGTTACTTTAAATATAGATAGTCCGTGTGGCTGTTGGCAACCACACTGAGTAGCCTGGCACAAACTTTTAGTGCTTTCAAACTTTCAGGAGGAAATAGATGGGCCTTTTACTCCAGAGAACAATCCCACAGTGAACATGCAGGAAGCTCAAGGATGCAGGATGTGGTCTCGGGGTGGGCTCACACTCACCAGAAACACTGAGGCTTTAGTGAGTTCTGCTCTTCTCACACATTGTACCAGCCCTTTTTGAGACTGAAGAAGAGTGCCATCTCAAGACAAATCCAGCTCATTCTAAGAAATACATACTCTAGGCATCAAGACTACTACTGGCTACCAGGAGGCCCAGGAGTATACCCTTTAGTCATTATGTTGGGAAATTGGGGTCCCAGAGCATCAACTGGTAAGTTCCTAAAAGAAGAAGTGCCCGTATCGGATTAAATAACTCTCTACTGTATGGCTGTGGGGTGTGCCCTGGAGCCTGCCTACCTGTAACTATAGCTTTCAGAATGCTCTTAGCTCAATTCTCTTTTCTGTGTGAGTTGGAGTAAAGGAAGTCACTGCTGAGGTCAGTTTATTTACTCCCTTCACTTCATAAATGTAGAAATAAGAACCAGAGTGGGAAATAAAACCAAGGAACTGATTGCCCAAGGGAATAAGCCAAGGCAAGTCTAGTACTGTGACCTCAATATTCTGACCTCCAGTTCAGACCTTTTTCTTATACTTCCCACTGCCTCCCACACATTACACCATCCTTGGGCTGCACCTAGACCTCTGCCCACAGTCACCCCATGCTGTGCTCAGTGTGGCCAACAGTATGCCTGCCCAGGTTTCAGGGCCTGCTTGAGACTAAGAACCACCCCCTCACTCATCTCTGAGAGGTGTGCTTTTGAGAGAGGCAATGGGCACACAAGAGTGAACTATTAGGTTGGTGCAAACATAATTGTGGCTTTACAGCAAAAACCGCAATTACTTTTGTACCATGCTAATACATGATCTACCTTTTCCGTGTAGCTGATGCTTTCGCCAGGGGTTTTTGAGTTGAGTGAGAGAGAAACTGTATCTGGTTCATTGCCACCTTTGCTTTGGGTCACGCTCTCTTGGTAATGTTGCAGGGAAAGCCTCATGAAAGCCCTGCTATCTGTCCTGGGGAAAGAATTTAGGAGAGTAACACTCTCTACCACACCACCGAGATCCTGCTTAAGGCGAACCAGTTCATATGTTCATTCATTCAGCCAAGATGTACCTTGGAGATTGAGAGATTTTAGCTGTACACTGGAGAGGCATACAGCAATAAATGATTAATCCCAGACCTCCTGAGGGGACAGATAAGGGAATAACTTACAATTTAATGGCAAAGACATACAAGAGATTCATGGGTCATTAGCAATGATCCTTACCCAGCATTTTTCTTTCAGGTGCATAGCAGCCTGGTTGGAAGCATTCTGAGTGCTCTGTCTGCCCTGGTGGGTTTCATTATCCTGTCTGTAGAACTGGCTGCCTTAAATCCTGCCTTACTGCAGTGTGAGTTGGACAAAAATAATACACCAACCAGAAGTTATGTTTCTTACTATTATCACGATTCACTTTATACCATGGACTGCTATACAGCCAAAGCCAGTCTGGCTGTAAGTATTTTAGATGGGATGTTCTAATTTGATGAGGTATTCAAAAGCCTGGATTTCTTGTTATTCCTTCTTTTGAAAATCTCTCTATTGGTTCTGGTTTGGGCATCTGGGGGAAAGTCAGGATTATGTAAATCAAAGGGGACTACATGGATGAGACTAAGGTGATTACATAGTAATAGGGTGGAATTGAAAATGTTAAATAACGTTGATGATGAAAAAATAAAACTTATTGTTTGTAGAGGTTCTTAATTATCAAACTAATCCAATTTTGGAAGCATAAATTATGAGTTTATCAAACTGAGAATTTTGGTACATGGAGTGGTGAATTAAGAATGGAAACAGAGCAGAAAGACCCAGGAGATCAGAATATGCCAACAAGGAAACCCAGTATGTGTGTGTGGTAAGGAGTGAATTTGGTTTGAGAAGACATCAGATTCAGTACTAAGAAAAAGAGAATAGGAAATATGGGGATAGAAGATAAGGGCTGCTTCTTCTGATGATCACAATAATGAATACTACTGATCAGGTGAGAATGCAATATTATTGTTGCTTTTTGTTATAGCTGAAAGAAGTATGATATATTAAATCAGGAGATAAGAAATATAGGGAGATGAAGAGTGTAATTGAGAATGATTGCGGGAGAATTCTATCTCTTTGGAAGAAGAAAAACAACGAAGTTTGGCTAACAGAAATAATATGTCTGCAGTTGAAAGATTAAGGGGCATGTGCACAGTCAGCAACACATTGAGGAAAAAAACAGACAACATAAGAGTAAAGAGATGGCTGGGCGCAGTGGCTCATGCCTGTAATACCAGCACTTTGGGAGGCCATGGTGCATGGATCACGAGGTCAGGTGTTCAAGACAAGCCTGGCCAAGATGGTGAAACCCTGCCTCTACTAAAAATACAAAAACTAGCCAGGCGTGGTGGCGGGCACCTGTAATCCCAGCTACTTGGGAGGCTGAGGCAGAGAATTGCTTGAGCCTGGGAGGTGGAGGTTGCAGTGAACTGAGATCGCGCCACTGCACTCCAGCCTGGGTGACAGAGCGAGAATCCATGTCAAAAAAAAAAAAAAAAAAGAGTAAAGAGATTGCAGTATATTTGTTGTCCTGCAATCATAAAAATGAGATAAGCCAGGAGCTCAACTGGAAGATGGACAGATAGAAAGGTCTGGAGAAAGTCATGTTTGTACAGCACTCACTATAAAGAGGGCCTTGCTCCCAAGGTAACGGTATAACGAGAAAAAGTACAAGTAAATCAGGCTGACAGTAAATAGTACAGATTAACACTGGGCACAGCCAATTCCACCTTGGGAAAAATTCTGAAGAGAAATTTCAGAGAAATTTGGTAGTGAAAAAGTATAAATTCATGATACATTGGAAATAAGAGAGATTCTGTTGAGCTTGCCTGCTGGAACAATTTCTAGGTAATGGAAAAAAGTTATATCTTCTCTTTAACTGTGTGTAAATACCACAAACCAAAAGTTCATGTGATCAAATTATTTCCCTTTATTATCAGATGGTCAGTTCTGCACAAAGAATGTCTCAGGACAGAAATGTCTCAGGACAGAACCCCTCCTTGTGAGTTGGTGTTGGTGATTAGCAATTCTGGCAGTTTACTACCTTCATGGATTTTTTCTAAGCCTTCCAGCCACACATAAAAAAGCAAAAACATAAAAAGCAACAAAGAACCCTAAGAAAAATCAAGAAGAAATCCAAAGGAGTTCAGATACATAGACAGGGATGTCAATACTGAATTTTACAAAGGACTTGTACAGTCAAAGCCTCCTTGATCCTTACAAATCTCTGAGAAAGAAATGTTAGTAAGCATGTTTGATACATGAGGAAACAGAGAAAGACAGAGACTTGTCCAGGCTTACACAGCTACTAAGCAGTAAAGGTGAGACTGGAACGGAGCTACTGATTCTCAGTCCTGGGAGTTATTACAACACTCTGCTTTCTTGCCGAGTAAACAATGTCATCAGAACTATCGATGTCTCAGAGAAGTAAGAAATAAGTGTATGAAGTAGATTAGTTGATTTCGTTACTATTCATCTCCCTTTCTCCTCTCAAGGAAATGAATGAGTTAAGGGGTTGAATTAAGACAATTGTGAGGTGTGGGAGGAACAGTTTTATTTTCCTGATGGTGTCCTTTCTTTGTTCTCTAATGGTTGAGGAGGTCTTCATCTCTATGGTCACCTCTCAACTAGGCATGAAGGCTTCAGCTGACATAAGCACCACCAATCTTTTATTTCTTGACTTTCAGGGAACTCTGTCTCTGATGCTAATTTGCACTCTGCTGGAATTCTGCCTAGCTGTGCTCACTGCTGTGCTGTGGTGGAAACAGGCTTACTCTGACTTCCCTGGGGTGAGTGCGCTGGCCAGCATCTCTTAATCTTGCCTGGTGTATCTTATTTCTGCACTGTGTTGAACTATGTCACCAAGAATGGTAGAAGGAACAACCAGCCAGTCATGAGATACACATGGGAGGGCATTTTCATGGTGATGGAAGACAGAGAAGAAAAGCAGATGGCAATTGAGTAGCTGACAAGTTGAAAATTCACTGAATATGAAAATAGTTAATCATGAGAAATCAACTGGTTCAATCTTCCCATTTTGTCAATGAAGGGAATGAGACTCTGGGAAGTTAAATGACTCGCCTGGCATTATGCTATGAGTTTGTGCCTGTGCTGAGGACACTAGAACCGGGCTTGCCTCCCTTCTAAGCAGAAACAATTTCTGCCACAACCACTAATCTCTCTGATAGTATTGACTTGGTAAAGGGCATTTACACATGTAACTGGATCCAGTGAATGTCTTATGCTCTGCTTTTGCTCCTGGTGATTTTAAATTCTTTTTCCTTTTTAAGAGACATATTAAAAATGTACTGTTGAATCAAATTCCAAGGGATACCACCCCTATGAACTTATGGCTTTATTTAACTGTATTAAAAAGCCTTGATTTATCCAAAATTGTATTATAGAGTGTAGAATGAATACTAGATTGATAAATTGCAATTATTTGAAGAACCTGGTAATATGCTCTACTTATCTTGGATTAGCTAAGAATTCTATGTATACAGTTAGAAAAATGGCATATATACATCTGTCTTGAACCTAATTGAAGTCTGAAGACCTAACATACTTTGTTTCTTCTAGAGTGTGCTTTTCCTGCCTCACAGTTACATCGATAATTCTGGTATGTCCTCAAAGATGACTCATGGCCCTGGATATGAAGAACTATTGACTTCTTAGGAAAAAAGGGAGAAATATTAATCAGAAAGTTGATTCTTATGATAATACAGAAAAGTTAACCGTTATAAAAAAGCAAAGCTTGAGTTTCCTAAATGTAAGCTTTTAAAGTAATGAACATTAAAACCAAACATTATTTCACTGTCATTTAAGATATGTGTTCATTGGGGAATCTCTTGATTTGCCTGACATTGACTTCAGCAAAAGCAAAGAGCTGTAAATTACCATTTACTAGACTAGCCAAATAGTCTGAATTTCCAGAAAACTAGGCAGAATGATCATTCCCAGAAACATTTCCCAGAAAATGTTTCCCAGAAAACTAGGCAGAATGATCATTCAATGGATCAGTGAAGCAAAGGGCACAACCTTTTATTGTACCCCTCAATTGTCAACAGTCAACAGGAGTTAACTGACTTCTTGTGGTGCTCAGACTCTTTTATACTGGTGCCAATGTTTTATCCCATGGATTTTACTCATTAGTATGTAAAGGCAAGCCCCATACGATGAAGTCTCAGGGTCCATGAAAGTAGCTGGCTTCAAAATAAAATCTTTGAGTGCATATTTTGTTTTGACACTTATTTTGTTGTTTTTTCCTTTAAACACAGAACAAGTCAACAATGACAGGAATAAACCCAAATTTGAGCTCCATTTTCTCCCCCCGCAAATATTCAAGCAAAACTAATGAGCAAACAAAAGCTAACCAGGAATACTTATTTGTTATGAAGCAAAGACCAGTTGATACTTATTTTCTTATTGCAAGAAAGACCAATTGTGTAGAAATGTTAAGTCTCAGCATGTGTGTGCACACATACACACACACACACATACGTAGAAAAGTATTTCAATTTTACATGAGCTCCATTTTGTTGAAAGAACTGGTCATGTTTCTCTTGCTTTTACCCACTGTAGCAGGGGTCATACCATACCCGCTGTATCAGATATCCTGATACTCAGATAGCTTTTCTGCTGTTTTTTTCCCAGTCTGAAACTAGACTGTCAGATTCTTTGATTTTAGCTTTATTTTCAAACTCTCGTTCATTATATCTTCTCCTTGTCCATTGCACCCCCCACTGGCACACACCATTTCTTTTGTTTATTTACCTATCGTGGACATTCAGCTTTTATTGACACTTATTGGATACGAGACACTATGTCAAATAAGAGAAACAGAGATGACAATGAAATGAGGGATGTATACCGGGCACTAATTATTATTTGAACACAGAATAAAGCAAATTTATTCTGCCTAAAAGAATGTAGGGGATAAACAGGTGTGTGTGTGTGTGTATGTGTGTGTGTGTGTGTGTGTGTGAGAGACAGAGAGTCCTTCCTTTGAAAATCCACCGCCCCCATATCAGTCACATGGTGTCACTCTCTGCCACAGGAGAGGACTATAACCCAGAGTCCACAATTGGTGTATTCATCTACTGTACTCACACTCCAGCTTTGTTCCTCACCCCCTGCCACCATGTCTTCACCACCACCACAGGACTCTGGATACCAGAAGTCTTACTGATTACCCAGTCAAACTTCTGGTCTTCAAAGTTGCCCCCGTGTCTCTCTTCAGCTTTGACTTGTTTATCAGAAAAGGCATCCAGTCCTTTAGGCAACACTCAAAACCACTTTTTATCCTAGGCTCCGCCTCACTGCTATGTCAGTCACTGATATCTTTTCTTTCAAGTAGCAATGCCCCTTTAGCCCAAGTCAAGTAAGAATGATGCCTACCTTGAGACAGAAGATGTACTGAGATAACCTTTGTAAAGCAGTTACCATTATAGCGGATACATGAAAGATGCTCAGTGAACTTGAGTTTTATTGTGTGTTTACTTCCCTTTGCTTTTCACTTCTATAGTCCAACTTTCTTTCCCTTTCACGCCCATTTTCTATGTCTAAAATTAACTTCAACCCCAATACATCACTGGGATTTGGAACCTAATTATACTCATCAAATCTTTCATTTCTTCAAGAAAGTCTGGGACAGGCACAGTGGCTCATGCCTGTAACCCCAGCACTTTGGGAGATTGAGGCGGGCAGATTGCTTGAGTCCAGGAGTTTGAGACGAGCCTGGGGACCATGACCAAACCCTAAATCTACAAAAAGAAAAAAAATCAGCCAGGTGTGGTGACACATGCCTGTAGTCCCAGCTACTCAAGAGGCTGAGGCAGGAAAATCACCTGAAACTGAGAGGTTGAGGCTCATTGAGCCATGATCTTGCCACTGCACTCTAGCCTGGTGGACGGAGCGAGACCTTGAAAAAAAAAAAAAAGAAAGAAAGGAAAAAAAGAGAGAAAGAAAGTTGTAGAATGCTCTAAATAAGGTAACTCAGACTGTGTAGGAAACATGTTTTCTTTTCCCTTTGCAGGAGAAAGATTTTAGAATTATTGGCCTTTCCCAATTTCTATACAATTGACTCTACTGACACCTTGTGGTGATAATGAGGAACAACTTTCCTCCCAAGAGAAATAGAAAAAGGCAAACCAAGGTATCTAGAATTCACTGGAGGTAGCTAATTTGACCATAGGAAATCACACTTGCCACCTTTGTCCTTTACAGTGTCTCCACATGTCATCAGTGAGGAGAAAGTATGCATTTTTCAAAAATTCTTTATTATTATAAGGAAAGTGGCTGTGCTTAAGTCACGAGTAGGCCAAGGTAGACATCCATTATGGTATGACACAGCAGGTTTGGAGCGCAGGTGCACAACCCCATGCATTATGTAGCTGTTTAATATAACCTGTTTGTGTGAGCTCATACCTGGCTTTGAGCCACTATGTCAGTGACTAATGTAACTGCACTGCTGACCCTGTACGACAGGAGAGAGAATAAAGTCATGTCCCAAATGCCTACAATCCAAGTGTTCTTTCAGCTACCCACCACCTGTCCACCACCTCCCCTCAGAACCCAGCTGAGGTTGGAACCTGTCAATTGGCATAGTCGGTAGGATCCCAAGATGAATGAGCCCTCAGCCTCAATGATCCCAGGTCAGCCATGTAGCCCCAGCATGGGTTGTGGTACCTGGTGGCAGTCCTGCTGCTAGGATGGGCCTTGGAGGAAACATTGACGGTGGTGGACAGGTCCTCTGTGAGCATGGAGAAGGCACTGAAGTACCTGGAAGCACAGAGCAATCAGAGGACAATGCCTTTGCTGGCAGAGTTCAATGGGTGTTTTTGACTGTATTATGGTAAGTGCACACTCAGTCCCTGCAGGGTGCAGCAAAGGTAGGGGACCTCCAGGCACAAACAGAACACCTGGAGGCCCAGATACACAGCTTGGAATGAGAATTAGAGGCTGCCATTACTGTGGGCTTGGGCCCACCATCGTGGTCAGAGACGCCTGCTCAGTCTGATACTGAGGAAGAAGAATGTCAGTTGCAGGTTTGCCCAGTGGTCCATCAGAAAATAGAGCAGGAACAGCCATTGGGGTCCCAGGGTTGGGCTCGGGGACCCCCTATCATGACAGAGCAGATGTCATATGGTGCCTATACCCCAATTATGTTGTGGGAATTAGATAAACAGTGTCAGCAGCACTCGGGGGAAACTCTACCTGCCTGGATGCCTCATCTCTGGGATGAGGGAGCCAACAGCATCATCTGCTCTGCCTCTGAAATGGAAAAATTGGCCTCCATTACGACTCATCCCTCCCTCCATCAGTGATTGCAGGTGATCAGGCAGTTTACACAAGGCAAGGCGACCACACCCTAATTGAATGGCTGATGGTGGCCATTTGAATGGTATGGGAAGATGCCAAAGAAATACCAGAAACTCTGAGTAAATGGCAGTCATAGCTAGATTTAGTGTAAGTAATTGAGGAGATGGGTTCAGGAGATGGGTTCAGGGTTCAGAATCTGGGTTCAAGACTCCATGGTGAACTCCAGCTACTCGGGATGCTGAGACAGGAGAATTGCTTGAACCTGTGAGGTGGAGGTTGCAGTGAGCAAAGATCATGCCATTGCACTCCAGCCCGGGTGACAAGGTGAGACTCCATCTCAAAAAAAAAAAAAAAAGAAAAAAGAAAAAAAATTAAATATCCATGCTTAACCTCACTCTGATGTGTCTGCCTCCTAGCTTTCCATGTCGTGGGACAACGAACCTTGGGAATTACCCCAGACAATGATGCTATTACATTATGCTGGCCAAAAAGGTTATGGGAGGGGAGAGAAGAGGAATTGTATTGAGGATATTACTAGGAAGAATAAAAGGATCCCTGCGAACAGATTAACTTTTAAATAGTTCTCTTTGACAGTGAAAGGGTCTATTCAGGTGTTGTTACATTTTTGGTCTTACAGAAAGGCAAAGAAAAAAACCAACTGTTCTTCTTGGTGGGTCCGGAATTTAGGCAGATAAAGGCACTTCAACTGCTTTGGGAGAGATGGTGGAAGCCCAGGGAAGGTCAGAAAGACCTTGAGCCTTCTTCAGTTCAGCATGTTAAAGTGCCACAATTTGAATTATTGGCTTCTGAGCTCCAACATTAACCAGAAAATCAGATTTTATTCAGTGAGCTCTAAACACCCTAAGAGCCGTTAGAGAGGCAGTTAAGTATTCATGCTTCTGGAATCATACTGTAAAACACAAATCTTGATCTATAGCAAGGTCTTACAGTCTTTGAGGAAGGAAGTGTCAGCAGACAAGTCTTTCAAAATGTTTTATAATTCATTTATATTATATATTTTTCTTGTTGGTACCAGTGTGATAATGGCAAAAACAACGTAGACACTCCATTCAGAGGTGCTAGATTTTAAATTTTAGCTGTAATACTTATTAAAGAAATCATCTTTGGATTTTTTTTTTTATAGTTTTTAAGAATGAATCTCCCTTTGCAAAGACTATGACAGTGAGAGAAGTTTAGCATGGCTTATTTCTTCTTGCTTTTAGACTCAAACATTGGCTGTCCTTGGTCATTTCTGGGTGTAGGCCAAGCTAACCATGGGAGGAATTAGGTCATAGTTTAACTTTGGAGCAAGAATGATAACAGTGCCTCTGCAAAACAAATCTCCTTGCTCAGAGACAAAACTGCCTTTGTAAAACTAATGAAAGATTAGGATTATGGGAGAGGCCTGACTTCTGCTAAAATGTAGGCAGACCTAGATAATAACCAGCCATTGTTCCAGAGGTCACAAGATTTGTAACTTCCACAATTTCTCCTATAGATAACATCAGTATTGTAGAACCTAAGATGGGTCTTTTGAGATGTTTTTCAGACTTTTGCGTTCTGATAACCTACCAACTCCACCTGGACTCATGGCTCATGACTCAACTGATCCTGTGGTCCCCACCCAGAGGCTGCCTGCACACTGGAGCTATTTTCCAAACCCCTATGATTTCATTCCCAGCCAATCAGCATTTCCCTTTTCCTAGCCCCTTACAAACCAAGCTATCCTCGAAAAACTCTAGCCCCCAAGCTTTCAAGGAGGCTGATTTGAGTAATAAACTCCTGTCCTTCCGTTTGGCTAGCTCTGTATTTATTAAAATCTTTACTGTAATACTGCTGTCTATGAATCGGTTCTAGCTGTGCAGTGGGCAAGAAAAACCTGTTGGACAATTACAAAAATAAAAGCGTTGT